CGCTTGCATTTTAAAAGACATAGATTTTGAAGAATAAAATCAAATTTTGGTACAAGTCGACTGTACTTAATTTAAACGAAGGACCGGCGATATTTAAAGTAATGAAGGACAAAAGATTTTTCTTCAATCGCGTGCGAATCCGAGATTTTTTTCAGTTCCGTCGCGTTTCCTGCTTGAGATAAAGTTGAAGATGCGTGTCGCCTCCTAATTTAAAACTTCGCATCCGTTTGTCATTTTTCAAATAGCATGAAAATAAAATATAAATAAATCTTTTTTTTTACGCAAAGTACGAATTATGTCATCTGTTTAAAACACGGCTCCCGCGGAACTGAAAAAATGATAAGCTTGATTAAAATAAAATAACTGACGTTATTATTAGTCTCGTTTTTCTATAATTGTATTAAAAAAATTTACAAATTAATTTCCTATTGTTAAAAAGATTTTTAAAATTTATTTTTTTATACATGATAAAGCAATTTTTATATTACAAAAATATGTTCTGTTTTGTATGCTTCAGTTTACGAAACTTTAACTTCGTAATCAGAATGGCTTTTTATCTTATTTGCAATTAAATAGTTTAGTTCGACGATATATTAATTTAAATACGTCAATATGTCAAAATCAGTCCTTGAATAAAACTTCGAAATTATCGATGACACCAAGGTCGTTGTTGCTTCCATCATTAATGGACACATTCCATCGTTTGTTATTTTGACTGTACCACGTCTTACATAATTTCTACCATAGAAAAAAGTATATTTTTTATTCCTATTCTTTTCCAAGAAGAATCCTCATTAACGTTTGTAATTTATTTGAAATAATTTGATGAATCGTGCAATACACCGATTTACAACTATTGCACAACTTCTGCAAAAGAGTGCAATTAATGTTTTTATATATTTTCTAAATTTTTCTATCACAAAAAATTATTATATTCTATTATATTGCTATTATAGTAATTATTAAAAGATTCAAGAATTAGTATATTATTTATTCTATAATTTTTGTGCTGTTTCCTTTTTAATTTTTGATTATGAAATTTTATTATTTATTTTTCAAATACTTTAATTTTTTGGGATGCATTATAAATAAGTTGATGTACAAAAATATTTTATACATACAATATATCAGCCGTAATTATTTAAAACATAATTACTTGTTTAACCTCGCGTACTAAACGAATGTTACAATAATATTAAAACAGAATATTAAAAGTGATTCAAAAACAAATCAAACAGCAAATTTTGTAAAAAGAAAGACAATGTTTTTCATTATATATATATATTGAATACTTATTATTTACTTATTTTTTATTTATTCTGGAACTAATTCTTTCTACGTTAAAGCCTGGTTCCACCAATGAAATTAATCTTAATCTCAGTTCAACTTTTTCCTCTTCTTTTTTTATATATAGTTATAAGAATTAGAAAAAGATAAAGAATAAATTGAACTGATTATTAGACTAAAGTTAATCTATATTGCTAGAAACGAGCATAAGTGGAACAACTGTATCTGAATTTGAGCAACGTGATTTTATAACAGAGAGAAATCTTAAGTATTCTATAAGGCATCACCAGCGGACGTCGCGTCGCGGCTATTACGAGCACACTTAACAGGTGTTCGAGAAGTTACCGGAGCTGCAAGCAAAAGTGTTACATCAGCGCAAAGATGATGCGCGATTGTTGTATATACATATATAGTATATATATACGGGATGCGTATACGCAGATTACTCTTACGAATCCTGATTTATTGTGGCGCGAATCGAGGGGTTGTTTCAATGCGCAAGTAAAAAGAGTGGAAGTATTAATTCTTATAGTTTCCCTTGCTCTTTTGATGAAAAATGACGTCGTAAAATTGTTATATAATAAAGCAATATAATGAAATTTTTATATTGGTAATATTATTCTAAATAAATCATAAAAAATATACAGAAAGAAACAGAAAAAAGAAAATATAATGTTGCAATATCCTTGAATATTTTTTAGGTTTAAATGCTCAAATTAGGCGTAATATCAAATGGATACTAATGGTTAATGTCGCCTTTATGTGCACATTACAGTCATTTCATCCTGAGATTTTTATATAATATGAAAATATCCAGATTTCAATCCTCAATGATGTATAACAACATTGAGGAATAATGATTATAATAATTATCACGTTGTGCATTGACATTAAGTTTATTCATAACCGTAGTAGGAAAAAAGTCATGAATTAAAGAATTATTAATAATATTTTATAATAATTTTTTTTCTAAAGGATTTATTATATATCGAAAATTGAAAAATACTACAGGTTACACGATAAGTACGTTTCACGCCTTCGTGCAGTTTTAATGGTCACGATGCAGCTCTGATGTTCTTTTACGATCTGCAAAACTATGTGCTATTGCAATATTGTTATATTTTACTGGTCTTACAATAATTTTTTTATTGAACATAAATGAATGTATTTATGGATTTTATGTGTCTATAAAAAATTGTAATTGTAATTCATACCAAATTTATAAATATTATGAATGAATTGCAATACTTTTTTGCTATTTATGGAGATTAATTAACATTTATTTTGTACACTCATTAGCACTGCTGTTGCGTTTTGTGTATGTCCACGTCAATTTCCTCTGCAGAGACACTTGCATTTCGTCAGTGTGACACAACCGGAACCTTCTCCACTTTTCCAACGTGGACCGTGGAAATTCCAAGAATGGAACTCGGGCCTTAACCACCAGTTGCAGCACGGATGACATTGACTAGCCTGTTACTCGTCTACGGCGTCTATGTTACCACTTGGTGAAAGTTGACGAAGCGCATCTTCAAGGTCATCGCCTCCAGGGAATCGTCTCCGCTCGCGACTGACGTTTTCAGAAATTTGAGACGAAGAGACGTCAATGAATTACGAATTGATAATACTGCGATTTTTTCCTCAAAACTGTCTATAAACACGATCGAGTGTGCAGATAATATCATATGATGTGTAAAAAGAATAGGTGGTGTCTTAATTGCCGAGAACGTTAATTACTCCATTGTGCGTTTCAATTACTCGATACGAGCGGATAACAGGTTTTCAGCTCGCGCGCGAAACAATGTTGATAATAATTTAATAAGGTGTTTAGCGCAATTGGTGACGCACAATTGGTACCGTACAATTCACAGTAGATATCGTCGTTTAATACAATGATCTAGAGATTGTTGTTCATACTTGTAAAAGCCACGCTTGTAAAAAATATTCAATTAATACTATTCCGCTAATAATTTTATCATTTTAGGCGAAGTAAAATGCCAATATAATAATACATATCAAATTCATTAATTTATATTCTATTTTAACTTGTTTATATACTAATAAAAATTTAATTTGTATAGGTCTTCTCTTCTCTCTCTCTTCTCTTCCAATATATCGAAATTATCACATTTAAAATAGATATTCTTCATTTTATGGCAAAGACAGTTAAAACTTCCGAATTCCATTCTTGCATTTTTAATGTAATGTAAATGCAACTAATAATAAACAAATTTAACAATTGTAGTGCTGCTATTTTATTAACGAAAGAAAATTTCGTCTTGTGCTTGAAAAGACCCTATATTAACATATGAAATGAGCAATACGTGCACGGCTATTCGACGCACTTGAATTAAGACAGACTCAAAGAAATAGAAAGTCTTTTTATCTACCGCTATTGCGACTATCGACATAACGTGTGCTTGAATTCAAAGCGACGATAAATACTCCGACAAATGTCCGAACAAAATACGCTTTCTAGGCCGGGCAGTAATTAACACAAGACTTCTAATAAATAGATACAATACTTTAAGATAAACTAGTAAGAATTTAGTTCAATCGCACGAGACGCCTCAGAATAGCTCTTCAAGATATTTTAGACAGGTTTTGAAAATTTTCAATCTGGCCTAATTACAGAGACATTTTAGAAAAACAAAAGGATTTTTATTTTTCTAAAATTACACTTTAAAATAAAAGCATAAAATTGATAAAATTTTTTCTGTTTTATTTCAAGTCAATTTTAACAAAAATTTTATATAAAGCTTATTTATCAATAAATTCAAAGTCATGTTAAAACATTTATTATACAGTTTCGTTACATGTGAAAAAGTTAGTTATAAATTGCTGATCGCATAACCAACACTATCGTGCCGGTATGATTGTGGGAACAAAGAGTTTACTCCAACTGTTATTAGCTGTTAACTTCAACCTATCCTATCATTAAACACATGGGAAAAAAATGTAGGTGAGCATTGATCGATTGCTCGGCCGCTTTAAGTTCGATCGGATCGATATACAGTCGAACAATCTTCTCTTTCTTTCTTGATTGAATATTTACACAGTTACAGAGAACTATATATTTTTTATGAGTATATATCCCAATAATTTTTTATAAATAAGAAAAAAAACATGCAAGATTGGACGTAATATAAATTTATTTTCTAAATGCAATATTTTTGATTTTATAAAAGCAACATTAAATTTTCTATAAACAGAATGCACTCTGTTTTAAATTATTTAATAGCACGTTATAATTATTTTTTTTATATAACGATAACTATTAAAAATTTATAAACCTACACTATATATAAAAAATGTAGCTTAATTAAAATTAATGAAGTGTATCCCGGAGATAGTATCTCATAGTCTTACATATATGATGGCGTAAGATATTCTCGTTACTTACTATATTAATCAATTATCGCCTGTCATCCTCTTTCATTAAAGACCTTTTCCACCTTTTTAATTCTTAGAAGCGGGCCGAATTTGGCTCTCAATAAAGGGAAGAGAAAAATTGATTAATCTTTATAATCGATCGCAAGGGCCGTTGCTTTCTTCTGAAGAATCGATCCGCCGTATCTCTAACTCTTAATTATCCGAACTAATTACGACTAAGGTCTTGATCCATCGGAACATCTCACCGGGTCCTTGTAGCGAAGGGTGGGATGAGTCTGCGGTCTGGTGGGGACCATTTCTATATAATCGACGGTGAAGGTGCCCGTCTCTTCATATCCTGTCAGTGACCACGTTTCTTTAACCGTCGTCTTCCAAGTCTATCCGTATTTTTCCAAGAGACAAGTGATACAAGGTGAGTGCCGAAATCCGGATGTTGTCCGGAAGGATTAAAACGTACGATATAATTTCAGTGAATTCAAATTTCGATGCTGCGAACACATGAAAATTTATTTAATCGTTTATAATAATGAAACATGATATACAATATATACATGAGGTAAAGTATATTTTTTCCCTTATCTACAGCATCGAAAATTAAATTAAGCGAAATTTAATTTCTAAAACTTTTATATTAATAATTAAAAATTACTGTACATCTTTCAGATTTATTAATTCAAATATCTCACCGTTTTTGTTCATTTTATAATTATAGTACCTACATACATTGCAAATTCTTATGAATAAAAATTATTATTTTGTTTTCACAAATATATCAGGACAGATTAGAATAATCAATAAATTAATAACCAAATAATTACATGCAATTAATGTAAAAGATATAAATTTTTAGTGAAGGCAATATAGAGAGAAAGGAGAGTATATGTGCAGCATAATTAATATTTTCCGATTTTATCCGACAGTAATTGGCGCACAATTTTAAAAAATAAAAAGACGTATTTAAAAAATATGTAGAAATATTATTAGGCACTAAAATCTAACCGAGACCATGTAGGCCTTTTTCCTTAATTGTTTCAGTTATAATTAATATTAATTACTTTTCAATTTGTGAAAATTTACATTGTAGAGAAAATTTTCGATTAAAAAATTAACTACTAAATATATGCATATTTGATAAATTATTCTCTCTGCTTCTATAATTATTTCAATATAAATTGATGACATTTGACACTTTTTAATATTGTTTGTAGCTAGAGAAACTTCCAGTTGATGTTGATGTGATTTGACGTATCACGTAACATAGATAATTAACGTCCATGCATAAAAAATGTCTTGCTACTTCGTTAAAGACACTCCCTAAGAGAAACTTCTGCTTGATGGAAAGGAACTGTTTATGTCGGTGAAATGAAATCGCGTATCTATATGTCAACGCCATTACGTACAAAACTCTCACCGGCTTATCCCAGAGCATATCGTAATAAGCCGACGAAATTGTGATATTTGAATATATAAATTCTAATTCAATATTAAAATAATCTGTTGATCTTCATCAACATATAAAATCGCCTTTAACCTATAAATCTTTCGTGTTATACATTAAATATATTATCTCTTAATTATGACATAATTTTTACTTAGGAGAAATGTATTTGAGATTATATAAGGCTATTTTATAATTCTATATAATATGTCTCAATAGACATATTATCAATTTGACATATTATTATTTGCGATATGCATTAATTGGAGTTAATAATAAACATTTATTGTTTTCATTGTGTGCAATAAAAATTATAAAAATTATTCTAAAAAACTTTACAAAATTTGATAATCATCTTGCATATATTATTGTCTTTTATCTGTAATAATATCTTTTTCATTATTCTGTAATAGATGATGCTGGTGCCGCTAGCTGTAGTGCTCCTCGCAGCGTTCGCTAACGCCGAACCAGCGATCAATGAAGCCCGACCGCACAGTAACCGACCTGGAAGATTCTTGTCTCTTCCGATACCGCAAAAGTGCGCAAATCGTAAGTACCTTCTGACATCAACACTTAAATTATTACTTACATTGTGCTTACTGCAAAATACGATAGGGCGTCACAAATGAAAAATCTAGCCCCATTCGTTCCAACTTTTACTTATCTTAACTGCGCTGTCAAAACACCAAGAATTAATAAACTTATCGCCTATTAGGTTGCATAAACTAAGCTAGAAATACTTAATTGATGATCCATTCAATAATTATTATTACAGAAAGAATGATTTTGCTGCAGTATTTAAAAATTTAGCTATATATACAGATATTCAATTAAAAATAATTATGTAGACCATTCAAGCATGATGAGAAATGCACAAAGTTTTAACATTTTAGCTTAATGATTGATTTAACATTTTGATACATAATTATTCTGTGATACATAATTATTTTGACAGTTTAACAAAATTACTTTCAAATCTATGTGTTTAACTTTTTTTAAATACTTCAGCAAAACTATCCTTTCCGTGTGCGATAGTATA